AATGGCTACTTGCCTGCCACGCCTTCTACAGTCTAGGTCACTGAAGTACTTCTAGAGACTAGGGTGTGTCATTATCTGCCTTGCCAGATGGCAAACATGTTTTTACTTCTCTACCGACCTTGGCTGCTTGTATGGATCAATTCTTCTTCTTCGTCCTCACCCCTAAAAGGGTGACTGCCACACTGTGTTGTGGTTTACAACTAGGCTGCAACATCTGAGCCTTTCAGCCCAACAGATCTTATTTAGGCAAACTCCTAATCAGTCACCTTTCAAGACATTCTAATTAGGAGAGGTAGTAGAGACAGTAGGTTTACTCATTTTGTTTTCCAAGAAACAAGAGTTCCTGGAACCCACACAGGGAGCATTGATTCTACTAATGCTGGCTTGAAGTTGCACAGAATATCAGCACTGGAAATTATTGGCAATATGCAAGTTCGCAGGCTTTGTACAAACATAAGAACACATGCTTCATTGCTTCAAATATAAGATGTCTACAACAAACCTCTGTCCATTAAAATGTCATCAGTTATGTTGAAGAATCGATTCAGCTCATCACGGAATTCCACTCTGTGGAGTTTCCCTGGTTCTTTCTTGCACAAGTCATTGAATCTGTCCATCAATTGGCTTACTTCTTCCCTGGAAACTATCAGCAAATAATTCGGAGATTTACTCTACAAAATATAAATTTAGGCATCAATCACGCTGAGAAAAATCCCAGCCTTCACCTGGGCTTCACCTTCGCCATGCCTCAAGACTATGCAGCCCCTATATATACATAAAATTTAGCATGTTAATGAACTTTATCTGTGAACTTTACTGAGTTACTTAGTGTTTGAAAACAATATGGCTGCTAAGCAGTCTTTTTCTTGCACGTCAACACAATTTACAGCTTTAGACATTTAGTTCAAAAGACAATTCAGATATTATTGGTCACCAAATGCACTGTGCCTTTAAAAGCCCAGATAAAGAACATTATAGTGACAAAAAGATCTCAGTTTTACTATTATAGCTTCTATTATTACACAAGAAAACAGAAGGTTGCAGGTACATTTTCCTGTGGTGATAGACAGATGCATAGCATGGACCATTTCACCAACATTTGTAACAGAGTGAGCTCATAGCTTGTTTGTTAGGAGGCACAAAGCTAGAATATTAGGAGATCAACAAGTTTTGGTAACCTTGACATTCCCTTTTCCAGAGTCTTCTTTTCCCGCCAAAACAAGCTATTGACATCAAACTGATGTTGTCTGGCCTTGGCCTTCTTTCTAGAAGTTTTGAAACGCATTCTTTTCATCATGTGACCCAACCTTGTCGTACTAGTGAATACCTTGTTAACGTGCCCTATCAAAGCAAATGCAATTGTCCTTGTTTTTTCTAGAAGCTTCTATGACCTCAATTGTCAGTTTAACTACTATATCTGCGTAGAATAGGATGATGAAATCTGATGCAATCGAGATATAATTAGCAAATCCCACGTGAGAACCTACCTAGTAAACAAGTTGAGGCGTACTGGAATATTCTAGGAGCAGACAAAGCGAGAAGAAAACAAATACCTAGCATTCCAGCATCCAAGTATAAATAGCGAGCAACAAAGCACTTTAAAAATTCTTCAGTCCACAAGACTCGAGAGAGAGGAGAGACCAGTCACATGGGCTCTCAAGACAGCCTTCAGTGGTAGAGATGTAAGCCCAACACTAGAAGCCTTCAGTCGTTGAGACTCAGAGGACGAGCGACTAGTCTCAATGATCATCGATGCCAGCTCAACACTGGAAGCAGAGCAGCCGTTCATATGTAACCTCGAAGACAGTCACTGGAGAGCAGACATGAAACGAGACATCGTGCTAGAGAGACGACACACAAGATACATGGATCCATGGAGAACAGAGACATATTAAGAACACTATAGAGATGTTAGAGTCGACGATCAAGCCGTTAGTACCAAACAGCACTAGAAGCCAGGTGGCAGTTAGAGACACTAAAACCAGTTAACAAAGCAACTAAAGAACACAACGCGAACCTACATGTATTTAGCCATAGAGAGAGCACAGCGCTATTTAGAATATCATTACTGTTATTTGTGACATTGTTGAAATATCACAATAAAGACAGTATAGACGGGAACTGTTGTTTCCAGCCATTTTATTATACAAGCATCAGAGTCACGTAAGAAGAATGCAGCAAGACATCATCCTCATCATAACTACTATCGACACGACCATCTTTCTCGTCGTCTATAATCTTCCAATCGACTCCTCCTGTAGCAAACCTAATGACGAACCTGGGTGTTACATCAACGTACGCAACAAAGAAGAGAGCTGTGCTACACATTGCACACAAAAACAACTGAATCTTCTAAAGATTTTATTTATTATTGTAACCTGAATGGAAAGGATGAAAACAAAAGTGACAGTCTACAAGATCTAAACATCAAAGAAAGCTGGTTCAAAAAAAGGAAATTACAGACAGAGCTATTTATTAACACACCATTATAGCAACAACACCATGCAGCAAACTCATTGACAGGCAGAAGATCAAATGGTCATTTAGTAAGAATGCAGCCAGAAAAACTTCCAATGCAGGCGCTACACTTGAAAGGATTCAAAGTGAAAGCAAAATGCCATCCTAGGAGAAGATGGATGGTGACATTAAAGAGCTTCAACATCGACACAGAATGACAGTAGCCTCTGCTGCCCATCAAGCAAAAGATCGCAAACTGTTCCCACAATACCTACAGGCAGAAGTGGAAAGTGATGATGATGATGATGATAGACAGAGCTATAATTAAATTCTTAAATCATTCTTTACGTAGATTTTTGGAGTAGAGAGATATAATAATATTGTTTAAACATCTGTGTCTTATCAAACTAGTGTGTCGTCCTGAGTGTCACCATACTGCCACCATCATAATTGAAACTCTTCGTCTGCTGCTTAAGAGAGGATGGAGCACTTATGGGGGTGTCCCAAGTGCTGTGGTGTCAATTCTTAATTCAACCACACTGTCACCAAGCAAGCAATCACAGTCAGTGAGTGACCTTTAACCCCACATAAAATGAGTGATAAACAACCAGTGCCACCATTCATTTGGATGAGAATCCTCCAGGCACAAGTCCCTGAAACTTTGTTCAACTGTTAGGTAATATTAATGTCCCCAACGACAGGTGGGGTGGGGTTTTTAAATAACAAAAGAAACTGGGTCTCATACTGGGATGAATTATAAAACCAGTGACATTCATGACTGGCTTTCAACCCAACCAGGATGCACACTAGGCGATAAACACTATGTGACATAACTCAGAAAGTGTCAGCATTTGGATGAGAATCACCTGGGCGTAAGTCCCAGAAACCCTATTCAACCCGTAGGTTAAGTTTAGGGTCCATAATGACTGGGCTTTAAAATAATAACCTCCACATCCCTTAAAAAACTGCGTCCCATATAAGGGTCGATTATTAATAGTGACCAAAAGTGAAATGGACATAAATTAAATAATTTTTCAAATAAATAAAATAAGAGTTTACTAGTATTATACTACATTTTAATTATTTCTATACTATTTGACAGTGAAAGTTGTCATCCAGTTAATTATACTGGCAAAGTTGGGTAAAATATTAATTTAATATTAAAACACAGATGGTAAATAGTAACAGACAGAGATTAACAAACAGTTATGATAAACATCAGAAAATAACAAACTAACGTTTAGTAATTTTCGCCAAGTTAGCAATGGTCTGTTCCCTCGTCTGTCGACTGTGCTTTGTCGCCATCTTGTCACAAGTAACGTTGCTATGTACTTCGCGCATGCGTATGAAAGCTGGGTGCCGGTGAAATCTTAGGGCACTTAGTCTGTTCTCCAAATTCTTACTCAATTTTGAGAAACATCAGTATAACCAATGTGTCGAATATACTTCACTTATTTTAAAAGAAGCAGTCACGTGAATATAAAGTGTAGTGGACACGAGTGCAATGCTGACTGAAGTCGTAAATTTAATGTCAGGGGCGTCACCAGATAATTATTTAAGTGTACTTCTGCAGAAATTTAAGTATCAGGGCACATGGATAACATCAGATAGAAGATGCATAACTGAGATAAGAAACAGAATAGGACAGGCAAAAACTGCATTTTATCAAATAAAAAACATCTTGTGCAATATATCCTTGTCATTGAGAGTTAGAAAAAGAAATCTTGCTTGCTACATACATCCAGTTTTAACAAATGGCAGTGAATCCTGGACAATAGGTAGGCAGGCCAAACAATTTCTGGAGGCCTTGGAGATGTGGTTTTACAGAAGAATGCTTAGAATACCTTGGACAGCCAAAAAGAGCAACCAAGAGGTTTTGAAAGAGGCGGGAGCCCGGACAACTTGTCACAGACATCAGAGGGAGACAGTCATCATTTTTCGGCCATGTTATGAGAAGAGGGAAAATAGAACATGTTGTGACCACTGGAAAGATATGTGAAAGGAGAGATAGAGGAAGACAACAAGAGAAGATACTTGACAGTCTTGTTGCATGGCATGGAGGTGTATCGGCACACGAACTGATACATGCTGCAGGAGATCGCAGATTATGGAGAGGCATGATCGCCCACGCCAGTCGGCAAGGCACCTGATGATGATGACTTCTTTCTTCATACTCCCTCTTTCGTGCAAGACAGCCTAGCATAATCATAAAATAGCATGAGAATGGAGGTAGAGGCGGTAACTGCAGCTCTCCGGTGGCTAGAGAACAAGATGCATACACATGTCGTAATTTTAACAGACTCTGAAAGCATGCTGAGAAAGGTAAAGACAGTGATACTTCGAGCAGAATGGCAAGCTTCACTGGGAAAGTCACGGGTAGTGAACATACTTTCCATCTTATCATCAGGCTATGCCGGCGTAGTGGGTAATGAACAGGCAGACAGATTGGCTGGATCTGTACCGCTGGGTGGTGAATTGATACATGACAAGGCAGATGTGGTCAAGGCTTTTGGGGAACAAACAACGGAATACGTCGAGAAACAAGATTATTACAGCCTTGAGAGAATGAGGCACATGGGCGTAACCAGAGGGTCTGACCGGCTCATTACACTCAAAAGAAAGGCAAGACAGACATATAACCAGATTGTGGCCGGTGATATCAAAATTGGAACTCTGCGCTGGCTGCTGAAGATGAGGATGGAGCACACACTGAGTGCTGTGATGTAAATTCTTGACTCAACTCAACTCAGCCTCCTCTTTTAAACTGAATATTTTCATTGCATAACTGTCTGGAACACATTTAAGGGTGGGTCGACCTGGAAGCCAAGGTCATTTTTGAAGAAAAGAAAAAAAGTTCGGTTTTATTCGGATATAACTCATGACTTTCGCATCCGCATTCTCCTGGGGCCACAGGTTACAAGGGTTGAAAAACACTGTTCTAAATGACTTGCCGTTCCCGTGTGGGTTTCGGGGTTCCTTTAGGAGGAGTGTGAGATAGACCCACGGTTTTCATTATTAGCATGTTGTAAAAGTCGACTTATTACGAGTTAGTTAGTTAGTTGGGTTATCGTCATTGCACTCCGGACATGTCCATAGGTGCTCAGATCCTCCCCTCAGTATGAACCCCAACGTCCGATGGCTAATAGTACCAGTTCTATGTTGATTAACAAGTCTTCTGACGTGTCCGGTGTGCGTCTCGTTTTTTGCTGTGCCGATCTTAATTCCCAAGTTTGCCATTCTGGCGAGTGATGTGGATTCACTGCCACCAAAGTCCTCTATCCTTCCCATTTCTCTGAGGGCATTGATAATATCAGCGTGATCCATAGGCCGACCGTCGGTAGTGATAGCGGATCCAGTCAACCTGTCAGCTCTTTCATTTCCATCGACGCCTGCGTGTCCCGGAACAAAAATAAAGGTGACTCCACGCACAGTGGACTTCTGTAACGATTCAAGCCATTGTCTTCGCACTGAACCTGCCTGAACCCTCCGGATCATACTCATTGAATCACTGAGTATACATATGCGGGTGTATTTTTGTGTTTCAAGCCAGGCAAACGCTTGCGTCACTGCCATCACCTCCATCGTCGTGCTGCTGGTTGTCATGGAGAAGGCACCGTTGGCTTCTTTGACTGTTCTGCCCGCTGAGCGTGCTGTAAATGCCCATGCGCTTCTTCTTTGGCGTATAACGGATCCGTCTGTATAGATTAGTGCATCTGCTTCGTCTGAATTTTCACTGATGAGAGCGTTGACCTCTGCATTAACAGCAACAGGATTCTCTTCTCTACATCGCCTGTTGAGTGTGACAATACAGGAAAATGTACAAATAAACGCCTGAGGCACAGGTATCCATTCTGCACCAGGTATGATGTCGGTTAGGCTGCATATTTGCCTAATAACATCTTCTGCCCGACCTAGCCACGATTTTCCCCTCTTCAGTCTGTCGCCCTTTTCACTAAAAAGCGCTTGATGCAGTGGGTGTTTCTTATCAGCACATATTTTGAGGTATGCCCGAGCCCTCCACATCCTGATCCTTTGGTTCATTGTTGGAAAGTCAAGTAGATACCTCATTGCTTCACAGGATGTGTCTCTTGTACATCCCAAAATAATGCGCATGGCTTCATTTTGCACCTTTTCGAGTCTTTCAATCTGGGTAGCACTGACAGTGAGGATGGCCAGAGCGTATTCAATGGGTGAAAGGACCAGACCGTAGAATAGAAGTATTAGTAGTCTTTGCTCGATATTGGAAGCAGCCATAATCCTCAATGCAGATAGACCTTTGCGTGCTTTTGTTATCACATGGTCAACGTGTTCCCTGAATGACAAGCTGCGATCGAACCTCACCCCGAGAAACGTCATAACGTTGGTTCTGATCAATATATTATCACGCATTTTCACTTCTGGTAAGTCCGACTTGACAATGTGATTGTTCAAAGAGAACCATGACACTGATGCCTTCGAAGGATTGACATAGGCATTGGAACCATCACACCAGGCGGCAATTCGATCGAGTTCTTTGTGCATTGTGCTGGCGATCTCCTGTCTATCACGCCCTCGTCGATAAATCAAAATGTCATCAGCAAATGACAAAGTCCTTCCCTTTCCATTCAACTGCTGCTCAGTGATCATCACCGTATAAACGTTGAATAAGACTGGTGATAGCGGTGATCCCTGTGGCAAGCCTGGACATATCGTTTGCGGTTCTGAGGACCAGCTACCACATCTTAGTACAATCTTTCTCTGGAACAGGACCGCAGCAATCCAGCGGATCAGAATAGGATTGACTTCTAGTTTAAGCAGTAATTACATTAAATATTCGTATGGTACTTTATTGTAGGCATCTTCTAAGTCCAACACTGCCGCACATGTCTCTTCTTTAATCTGAAATCCCTCGTACACATCGTAGGCGAAAACAGCAGCATTGAACCATGTCTCTTTCTTCAACCTGTACCCTCTAAGTGTTGATGGGAACTTATCATGTAGTTCCAAGTAGGTGGTCAATCTTTGTGCGACAATTTTTTCCAAAAGTTTGCCAACAGTATTCTGCATCGAGATGATTCTGTAGCCGCAGATCTTTGAGTGGTCTTTATTAGGCTTTGGTAGTGGGAACAAATAACTATGGAGCCATTCCTCTTGTATCTGGCCACTCTGGATGCTGATATTGAATTCCTTTGCCACGCTTTTCAAATCAGCATTCGACATCATCAGCATGTCATTGTATCGGATGCCGTCAGGGCCTGGAGCAGTGCTGCGCGATTTCTTGAGGCAAGTTCTTAAGGTGTCTGCAGTGATTGTGAAATCAGTGCCTAGCTCAGTGTTCTCGCACAGCATCGACAGTTTCATCTTAACCCCTATTCTTGCAGCTTCGTCTTTTTGGTCAGTTTGCTCCAAGTAGCGCGCAAGAAGGGTTTTTTCTTTATCAGCATCAGTTCTCTGCCATATCAGGTCTGTACCCTGAAAATCAGGGATACCCCTTGGTCGTGCAGCGCCGTGCATGCTCCGTTGAAGGCGCCAGAATGTCACAAGAGATCCCTCGGAGCATTATTACGAGTGTTTCCTTTTAAGTCGGAACACATATGCACCCGAGAGGCTAAGAATCAATGATCTGCATACAAATTAACAAGACCTGTAAAAAGAATGCATACGCAAAATGCAAGTTCTAGAACAAAACTAAAGTCCAGAAATGGACAAAAAACCGGAATTTTCTGTTAGAGTTTACAGCAGTCGGTGAACGCAAAGAAGAGACTATTTGGCCAACTGGCTTGTCGGGGCCAAAACACAGGTCTAATTCTAGACTGGTGATCATGTGAGATAAAACATAACAAACACCCAGGCATGCCAGGAAGGCACCTGCTGATAGTCACATAATAATATTGTTGTACTGTAGAAAACCCATATTTTGCTATAATGTCTGTAATGTGGCGATCTCTCTTGTAAAACTCTACATCCCAGTGTAGAAGAGAACCGACTACGTAGAGAACAAACATATCTCGACAACAATTCACTCATTCGTTCATTATCATGCGATGCCAAAGGGCTCACAGTCTATTCCTCAATTCCGTTTTAACCTTGCAGTCAGTTAAATATTGTGGATGGGAGCAGTCAAGCAGCTTTTGTCTCTTTCATCAGAG